GGCCGGCCTCGGGCGGGCAGCGCCCCCGGGGGCAGCGGAGTGCGACGGGCGCGCATCGAGAGGCCGAAGATTACGACGCGGTGTGTATCCTGTGGGCAGATAGGGCATTGGCACCTTGACCCAAGCTGCCCGAAGTCATCAAGGTCGGCCGCGCCAGCGTCTGACCGAACCAAAAGCAGCAACTTCAGCTTCAGCGACTTCAAGAGCAACGGCGGCAAAGTCGGCGAGTCCTGGATCGCAGAGGCGCGCGCGGCGGCGGCTTCGTCATCATCCTAGGGGCTCCGAGCTCGACCGAACTCCGAGGTGAAACCACGCGGCAAGTGGAAGGCCCAGGGCGGCGACGAGACGCTCAAGGCCAGCGCTGACGGTGCAGGCGAAAACGCTGGACTTCCGAGGAGACGAGGACGGTCGTTGCCCGTCGCGGCGGAGCCCTGCAAGCGCGCGCTGAAGGCGGGCCCCAGGATGTTCAATGGGTGCGGATGCGACGCGCAAGCGCCTGACCTGTCACAGGCGCTTGCCCGGGCAGCCCGGCGCCCACGCGGCCAGGGCGCGCCGGGGCAGCGGCGAGGAGCTATGGAAGCACTTCGCGGCGGCGTTGCTGTTCACGCCTCGCGGCCGCCTCATATTTGGCAGGATGGCCCCCGTGGCGTCGGGGCGGGCGACGACTGACGCGGTCAAGGGGGCGCCGCAGCCAGGGGCCTTCGACCTGAAGGGCACCAAGGAGCAGCGCGAGGCGGTGACTGCGAGGACCAAGAGGGCGACCGAGGCGAAGGCGCCGTCCGACGACGAGGGGCGGGGCGACGCCCCGACGGCCGAGGAGGACTCGCGCGAGGAGGGCCAGACCGAGGAGCACGTCTTCGCGGCGTACCCTGCGGACTTCGACCAGGACATGCAGGGCCTCGACCTGGAGCGCCCCCCTGGGCAGCGAGAAGATCATGGTTGGGGTGGATGTTCAGGGGCGACGCGTTCGCGCAGTTCGTGAACGGTGGCCCCGCGGCGCACGGCTACGGCCACTCTCTCATCGGGTCTGCGATGGCGAGCGACGCTGCCAGGCTCAGCGCGGACCAGCGCCGCCTGGCCTGGCACCTGATCTACCCGATGGCGCTCGGCGAGTGGCACCTCCCGCATCAGCCTGGGGACCAGGCGTTCCAGGTACTGATGGCGAAGTATTCTTCCGACGGTGCCGAGGTCTACGGATCGAGTCCCTTGGGCCCGCCTGGCACTGCCGCGCTCGACGCGGCCTGCCAGGTGACCAAGCGCGGCGCCCCCTGGAGGATCAGGTACGAGAAGGAACTTCAGGCGAGGGGGGCTCAGGGCGGCCCCGAGGCCCCAGGACCAAGCATCGCGGCGTTGGCGGGGGCGCGCGCGGCGACGCGGCGCGCAGCGCGCCGGCAGGCATCGCCAGCAACCCCTTCGCGATCGCGTCACCCGAGCTCGATCAGGACGCCCCCCCGCTGATCTCAAAGGGCGCGCAGTCCGAGCGCGGGGCTGTGATCGGCGCGGCGAATGCGGTCGCCGACTTCACCGAGATCGGCGCCTGCGACGTGCCCCTCTTCAAGACGAGTGGCGGCCGCCTGGGCGTCAGTCTACTGGACTTCCCAGGCCCGGGCGTTCTCGGCCCCGAGTTCCAGGCCCGTCTCGCGGAGGGCGGGGCCAGCGACGGGTCCGACGCGGCGGGGCTTCCAGGGGCGGCGGCGGCGATGCCGGCGATAGCGGCGATGGCGACGGAGACGGTCTCCATCGGGATGGCCAGCTCTAGACGCGCGAAGAAGGCCAAGGCCGCGCACGACGACCCGCGCACTATGGAGTCGAGGTCGCTCGACATCATGGCGGGTTTTACTGCCAGAAGGAGGCAACTACCCAGAGGGGCGACACTACTGAAGCAGATCTTGTGCGGCCAGTTTGGCCTTGCGCTGCTCGCCGCCGCCGCCTTCGGCTGCAACTGCGGCTGGCCCCGGGGCGTCAGGGGCGGCCGGGGCGGCGCCGCCTGGAAGGGGGGGCAGGCCGCGAGGAGGCAGTTGCCGGAGGAGGACCCCATGCAGCGACGATCATCACGATGCCCCGCGGCCCGCGGGGCGAGCGGAGACGGTGCAACATCTCGAAGGGCGGGGCCACTGCGGCTAATTACAGCGCGCGAGGCGAGAGATGCGACGAGGCCCCTGCTTGCGCTGTCCGACCAGCGGCATGGGGGCGGCGGGGGCAGCCCCTCGGCCCCAGCGCCGACTTCGAGCCCGAGATGGGCAAGGCTTAGGAGCTGGCTAGGAAGGGCCTGCTGCTGGGGTGCACCCCCCGCCGTTGCCAGCTGGGCTACGCGGGTGCAGAGACCAAGGGCCGCGCTACAAGCCGATGAGGCTCCTGACGACCAGCGCGGCGGTCTACGAAGCGCTGCGGAGCGAGGAGCGCATCCGGGACCGCTGCCACCTGCCGCTGGAGCACCAGAAGAAGACGCGCGCGGCAGCGAAATTGCCCGAGGAGCTGGACACGGTAGCGCCACGCGCGATCGAGCAGCATATCGACCTCGACATCGACAGCCACGTGTCCGAGGGACATGGAGTTCTGGAGAGCTACCCTGCCGAGAACCAGCCTGAGAACAAGAGGAGAAGGTTGCGTGGCAAGCAACCAGTGAGGCGTCTTGCGGCTGAGGACACGCGAGCCCGAGACCCCGTCTGAGGACGGGCCCGCAGTGGATCTCGGCGGAGTTCGAGAAGAGCTGGCCACAGGACTGGACCCCGTATTATCGCGAGAAGAACGGTAACGCAGGGAAAAGTGGCTCACCTACGACTCTGCGGTCAGACGCGACATCGGGCACCTACGCGTCAATTCCGGACACCCGACCAATGTGACTCTGGTGAGGTGCTTGAGGAGGTCTGGCGCCAATATGGAGTTTCTGGATTGCTCGCGGGACTTTAGATGCGATGCCTGCGGCGACATGATCAGGGCGAAGCACGTTCGCCGTTCGCCAGGCACGTATGCCGAGACGCGATCGGTTCCATGACCACGCGATGCTCGACGCGCTGTTCGCCCGCGACGCGGAGGGGGGGGAACGCATGCCTTCCACAATACCGTCTGCGACGGCACCAGGTTCCAGGTCGCCTGGAACCTGCGTCGCGGCACGCACGCGCCATCCGCCAAGGTGGCATTGGACGCGTTCCTCACGGCGTGGGCCAGCTGGGCAGGGCTGCCGCAGTCCATCTTCGTGGATCGCGGCAAGGAGCTCTCCAAGGAGTTCCTGGCCCACGTGTTCGAGAACGGCGTGGAGATCGAGAACGCGGCGCTGGAGGCGAACGAGAAGCTCGGAACGATCGAAAGGCTTGGCGGAGTCCGGAAGGAGGCGTGACATCGCGTGGTGCAAGATGCCCAGATCATGAAGGAGACGGGTCTCAGGACCCCCTGCGGGGTCATCAACCAGGTTCGCGATAAGACGGTGATCTACGACGGCTGCGCGCCTGCCCACTGGGCGCTTGGCACTCGCGGCTCGCGAGCGCCCGGGTCGTTTCTTCAAGTCGGAGAAGCTGAGAAGCTACAGGTGCCGGAGGCACTTCTCGACCCGGACTCGGCTATGGCGCCCAACCTACTGCGGCGCGAGCGCGCCGAGGTCGCCTTCGCAAAGATGGACAATGACAACTGCGTGATGAGAGCGAAGCTTGCGCGTCCTGGTCTGCGTGCACTCCGAGGCGCCCGCGCACTACGCGCGCCTCGAGGTCGGCGGTTGCTACAGTTGCCCGTGCCCCAAGGTGCTTCTAGTTGTCCGTTCCGTTTTGGAGCGAATCCTGGAGGCGCAATGGGCAGGGGGCACTTGTAGCAACGCCCGCCAAGGTCTCGAGGATCGGCGTAGGCGTCGCGGCGGAGCGCCGCGACGCCTTCAAGCAGCCGTCCGAGAACGCCAAGAAGGCCCAAAAAGGCCACGTGCGAACTCACGCCAAAACCCAACGATTTCTGAAAGGGGGGAGGTAGGGTTCACTTTGCTCGGGAGCTGCCGAACGAATTTAACCCCGCCCTCCCCCGCTGAAATCTCGGGCAGGGTTCGCATGTGGCCTCCCAAGGCCGCCGCGTGGATCCTCCGCGAGCTCGGCGCCATTGGCCCTGGCGAGAGCTGCCCTGCACCGAGCAACGTGATGTTCCAAGCCGACGATTGGCCCTGCTGCCTGTGGACGAGTCGCCGGATCGAGCGCGCCCAGCGCGAGATCCGAGGCGAGGGCCGCCAAGCGCCCGCGAGCATTAACGCGATGCGCGCCCGAGGCAACGAGTGGATCAACGAGCTCATGGAGGCCAGCGACAACGACTTGGCCAAAGCCAAGGCCACGCACAAGTCCAAGCCCTGCGAGGGCCCCGCGGCGGCCGAACCGAAGTTTGCCACCTTCGAGGAGGCAAGCGCTGCCGCCCAAGCGCGCATCAAGCGCCTTCCCTGAAACAGCGGCCCCAAAGGATGCCGTGCTCACATGGGGGAGCGGCTCGAAGTCCAGCGCAAGAGAGGCTTCTTGACCAGAGTGGCCAAGGACCTCCCTTACGCCAGCAAGTTGCAGGCATGAGCCTCGAGATCTCTCGAGGCAGCCTTGTGCCGAGCGCCCGTTGGCAAGTTGTCTCGCCGCGAGCCTCGAGGCCTCCCGCGTCAGTCTTGCGCCGGGGGCCCAGACTCACCATCGCCATGATCATCGCCATCGTCATCATCGTAACTTCACCTTCCCCGGGGAAGTCCTTCATTATCCCCGCCAGCCCCCCGAACTTCATTATCCCCCCGCGATTATTATCGCTCGCGGTCTGTTACAAGCTTTCCTTCTCACGCAAACCGCTTGCATCGTGTTTTTTTTTGCCGCGGCCCCGCCCCCCGGGCGTCTCGACCCCTTCCCCGGGGCCGGCCCCTAATGCTGAAAAGGCTTTTTGACGGTCCTTGCGGCGCGAAGGGGTGCAGGCACCTTCTCTCCCTCTTCCCCCTTTCGCTTCCTCCGTGCTCCTTGTCGGCCTAGTGTCCCCCACCCCCATTCCGCCCCCCCTCCTGCCAGACTGGCGGCTCGACGCCTGGAGCGCCCCTGCGCCCGGTGGTGGCAACCGCAATCGCCGCCACGCCACCGCTATACGCGTGCCAGGAGCGCCGCTGTCGTCGTCGTCGTCGTCGTCGTCGTCGTCGTCGTGGTCGTCGTCGTCGTTTGTTGTTCTTTCTTTTTAATGTATTCTCTCTCTCTCTCTCTCTTTCCCACTCTTTCCCCCGCTATCTATATATATATATATATATATGTATGTATGTATATATATGTATATATATACGTGTGTGTGTGTGTGCATCTCCGTACATGTGCATATACCTACATGTGTGTGTGTGTCTGCAGATGTAGACTTACGTGCTTGTGTATACATACATACATATATTATGTGTATGCATGTATGTGTGCACACGTATAGAACTATGCACACATATAGAAGTATATGCATGTGCCCATACGCGCATACATGGGGGACCGGGCCAGTGGGCCAGGGGGCAGAGTCTCTACCACAAGTGTGTGTGTGTGTGTGTGTGTGTGGCGGGGCGTTTGGGGGGGCACTGAGGCGGGCAGAATGCCACCAACAAGCGCCAAGAGAGCCCCCAGACAGTCCAACAGGGCCCCGAGACGCCCAAAAATCGCGCCAAGTCGCCCAAGATGGTCCCAAGAGGCTCCCAAAAACACTCCCGAGAGGGCTTCAAGATGCACAAACCAGTGATGTCCATTGCTTTTGACTGATTTGGCATCCTCGCCTGTTCGGCTTCCCGACGCTCCAAGACGACCCAAAAGGTGCCCAACAACGCTAAACGACAGCCCAAGAAGCATCCAAGAGGGCCCCCAAATTGCCCAAGACGGCCTTCAGACGGCCCAAGAATCTCCAAGACTGTCCCAAAGGCTCCCACGTCGGCTCCAACGGGGAATTCAGACTGGAGACCCGAACGGGCACTTCGAGCCCTCGGCCTCGAGAGGCCCCCAGGAGGCCCCAAGAGGCCTGCAAGAAGCCTCCAAGAGGCTCCAAGAGGCATCCAAGAGGCCCCCAAGAGGCCCCCAAGAGACGGAACATTCGTTGATGTCACAATTTTGCAGGATTTGGGTGTTGCCGCCTTTTCGGTTTTCCGCCGCTCCAAAGCGGCCAGCGCGGCCTGCAAGACCGCCCCAACACTACCCAAAACGCCCCTGAGAGGGCCCTTAGACGACCCAAGAGCTCCCCCAAAAAGCCCCAGACGCCTCCAAGGAGGCCCCAGGAGTCCACCCCAAGAGCACCCCAAGATGGCCCCAGACGCTTCAAGGCGGTCCCAGAGGCCCCCAAGACGGCGGTCCCCGAGGCCTCCAGGACGCCCCAATCGATTTTCACGAAGACACCGCAAGAGCCAAAATTCATTGATTTGACTCACGTCTTTGAATGGTGCTCCCAGGCCGCCCAAGGGACCCCCAAGACGCCCCAAGAGGCCTCCACGAGGCCTCCCAAGAGTGCCCACAGATGCAGCATTCATTGCTTTGCCAGTGTGTTGTGAACGATTTGGGCTTTCTCGCCTTTTCGGCGCTTCGACGCTCGAAGGCGGCCCAGGAGGCTTCCGAAACGCTCCGAAAATGCCCGCCAGGCCCCCAAGAGGGCTCCAAGACGCCCCTAGGCCCCGAAGGGCCCCAAGGAAGCTCCAAGAGGCCGCCAAGAAGTCACCCAAAAGGCCCCAAGAAGTCTCCAAGAGGCCCCCAGGAGATCCCCAAGAGGCCCCAAGAGAAGCACCATTGTTTGATTCGTTTTTCCAAGTTTTGAAGGATTTGGGCGTTATCGCCTTCTCGTCCTTCCGGCGCTCCAAGGCGGCCCACGGGGCTTCCAAGATCGTTTCAACATTGCGTAAGAGGATCTTACGAGAGCCACAATACACCCCAAGAGCCCCCCAAGAGAGCACCAACGGCCTCCAGGGTGGCCCCATAGGCCCCCTTTGGGGCAGCCTTGGGGCGATATTTGGGGCCTCTTGGGCCGTCTGGGGCCCTTCTGGGATGCAAAAGGGGAGAACCCGAACAACCTGCAAAAAAGTAGGGATGTCAAGTTTTTGGCCTCCTGATGCCCTCTCGGGGGCCCTCTTGAGGGCCTCTGGGGCCGTCTCGAGATTTTCTTGGACCGTCTAGCGGCCATCTGAAGCTCTCTTGGGGCCGTCTTGGGCCCTCTTGGACCGCCTTGAGGCCCTTGGGCCGCTTCACCAGAAAAGTACAAAGAAAAGGGTCATGGGAGCCGCCCGGGAGCCGCTTCATTCAAGCAAATACAAGGGAAACGGGCCATCAGACCATTGTGCCGGGGCCTCGCCCCTCCCCTGGACCCCTCCCCAGAGGGCTTCGCCCCAACTCAACGTCATCACTCGTGCCTCGCTCTTTCCGTCACCCAAGAGCCAACATTCACGGATCTTCTTCATGCTGTGTATGATTTTCGAGTTCTCGCCTAACCGGCTCCCCCACGATCCAAAAGAGACCCAGAAGGCTCCAAGGGCGCCCCGAGAAGTCCTGAGACGCCTCCGGGAGAACCACAGAACATGGCGCCGCGCTTCCAGGGTCTCTCCCGAGGCGCTTAGGGAAGGCCCATGACACATGCACACACACACACACACACACGTTCATACATACATAACGTATATACACGGGCGCACAGTTCTATTGATATACATGTATATATATATATACACGTATATGCACATGTGTATATACCTGTACAAGTTTATACACACATAGATGGGCGTATGTATGGACGTATGTATATACACATACATACGTATATCTACTTCTATAATATCGGATGCCCCCGCCTTTCCTGGCACACAGTGGCAATCTGTTCATACATATATATATATATACACATTTATATATGTGTGTTTATATATATATATATATATATATATAGTCATGGACATAGACATTGACATAGACATCGCATAGAACGCGGGGATAACAAGGAACCCAGGCCCGCGACCGGGACACTCTTTGAGATCTACCCTTTTGAGCACCCCCCCTCCGCGGCCTCCCGCTTCCCCCCCCAGCCGCTTAAAACATGTCCAGTGCGGCGTGCGTAAGTGCCTAACAACACCCAAGAGCAGCCTGAACATTTTCAAGATAGTTCAAGACGGCGGTCCAAACAGCGCCCTTGTTGAGCCCAGGGGGTCTGGATATCACCCAGAGCCTCTCTAGAAGCCAAGAACTACTGATTGCCCATTGGTTGTTGCACGAGCTTCGCCAACAGGAGCAACATTATCAACCAGAGCAACGAGCGAGATGACAGCAACCGGAGCAACTAGCGAGACGACCAACCAGACGGAATACAGCCTTTTACGGCTGACGAGCTGGAGACCGCCTCGCGCCAACCATTGTCCAAGAGAGTTGCTGACTATTTTGGGATCGTTGCCGACATGTTGAAATCAGATTTTTCTCCGGGTGTTCTGTGACATGTACAACAACATCACATTACCCGATTCGCCAACACCGACCAGCGGCGACACACAGTAGCCAAGGTACTTGTTCAACAACTACGGACCACTTCAAAGCAGCCAGATTTTGTACAACCTCTTCCCATTCTACTCTACAACCGATTGCACCCTTTATTCGACAGCAGCCAGAGGACTGACCAAGCAGGCTTTCGACCCCACCGCAGCACTACGGACCCATCATTCACAGCAACACTACTGCAGGATATTGCGGATGAGTGGCAACTTCCATTGTGGTCAGCCGCCGTAGACTTCAAGAAAGCGTTTGGCAGCATCACCCGTTTGGAAGCATTGGCTGAACAACATACACCCAAGGCGTAAATCATATGATCGACCACGCTGTACATCGACCAGACCGCGTCTGTTCACACAGACCGCTTAAGCAGACCCTTCAACGTTCTATGGAGAGCGAAGCCAGGATGCCCCGTTCAGCTCATTGCTCTTCATGTGTGTACCCGAGATATTAATGAGACGAGCCAAAGGAGATGGGCAACGAGGAGGTGAGGCTTTCAGCTGCAGTTCCATTCGGATCATAGGCTGACCACTCCACGCTTCGCCGATAACACTCTTCTACTAGCCAGGTCACTCGACCACCTCAAGGATATGTTTTCTGACTTGACCAACGAGGCGGGAAAGGCGGGATTGAAACTGCACCCCGACAAGACAAATACTTCGAACAACGGCAACCAACCACCATGCAGCCAACATGCACCCGGCAGCGCGAACGCGCACGGCATGACGATCCAGGCTACGCCGCCCTACCGCGCCACGATATACCGCGGGCGACAACTACAGCGCAGTGCGCACAACGCCACCGACATGCAACATCGCATCACCAAAGCATGGCGGAAGTTCCACGCACTCGAGCAATAGCTGACTGGACCAACGTTTTCACAATCGGACCGTGTCGCATCTTCAACGGGACCATCACGCCCACTGCCGTCTACGGTTGCGGAGCTTGGACATTAACGTCCGATGCTGTCAACTGTTTGAAGGATTTGGACGTTCTCGCTTCCTCGGCCTTCCGGCAACATTGCGTAGGAGGCCTTTTACAGAGCCCCAAGACGACCCGAGAGTCCCCCAAGAGAGCCCCAGAGGCCAAGGTGGCCCCATATGCAGATTTCCCCCGTGACAAGCCTGAGCCCGTTGCCGTCTCTCTCTCTCGAGCGAGCGCCCCCTCGGTTGCTCCCGGGGGCACGCGTTTTTGACTTGGGGTTCCTGAAGAGGAGCCCGATCTCCAGCAGATCAGTTGCGCTGAGAGAAGATGGACTCAAAGTGCTTCCGCTGCGCGAGACCCGCCTACACTTGCATGGTAGCAGGAGCGCGTGGTTGACGCGGAACCCTGCGATGAAGTCGAGTGACGATCATCGGGGGAAGGTGCCAGGCTGGGATGGAGACCCTCAGACTTGGCGCGCGCGCGCAGGCGGAAGGCTCTCCAGTGCCAGGAGGGCACCAAACGAGAGGACAGGTACCTGAGCGGCCCGAGGCTTGAGGCGCGACCCACGAGCCGGGCCGAGGTCGCCTTCGAGCGTTGCAAGCCAGGCTGGCTCTCCAGGGCGGACGGGGTCGAGAGGCCCCCAGCATGGCTCGGGCGCTGATGCTCGCGCCAAGCAGTCCCTGATGTCGGCCAGGAGCTCGGG